ACTCAAAAAAAGACTACCAAAACAATCCGCCTAAATCTACAGCAAGCTTGTCGTCTCCAGCATCCTGCAGAGGCATTGCTGATCCACCACATCTCAAGATGTTCGACTACACCAACTTCGATCACGTCTTTGGGACGGAGCAGTTTCCTTACGATCGCAAGTCCGTTCAGGAAATCGACACCTACCGCAAGAGCCTCGATGGCGCCCTGTTCATCGACCGAGTCCTGAAAGCCTTGGGCCTCACGAAGTGTACGGTGCCTTCCTATTGCCTCGCAATTTCCTGTGACTAACGTTGAAAATCAGCCAAGACGTACCCTCCCAAAACCGAGAATGCTTTGCGCACGCTACACCAGCAATTATGCGAAGCCACGATGTCAACGCACCACCGACTGTCCATCTTCTACTACATCCTGCTCGACTTTGACACGAGCCAGACCAGATCGCAGGCATCATCAAAGTTTGCAGTGACGTCCGGTGTTCCCAAAAACTATCAGATCTTCATGAAGGGTCTTTGGCTCCTGGACCATGAACAATTCGAGGTACGCTCCTCTGACCTGACCGTTGTCACTAGGCAACAATTCACTTACCAACTACTCGGTCTACCAACAGAAAGCACTTGAGTACATTGCGCACCCTTCTCTAACCACCGATTTCGCCGACGAGATCATGACAGCGCTTGTGCGCAATGCCCCCGACGGCGACTACACCCTGCCTCTATCATACTTCCATACCGTCCAGCCAATTCTCAAGACATCCGAGGCTCTGGAGCTCCTCTTCGACGCCATGTCACGAACTAGCATCACCGAAGCCCTCTACTTCTCCAGAACTCATGCCGATGCTGTCAGAGCACAGCTGTTCCGCCAGCTTGTCTCCAATGTGATTGGCGCTCCTGCGAGCGAAGAGACAGCCGCACGGTCTACCGAGCTTATTGGGTTGCCCTTCGATGCAGCAGAGGAGGCCTGGTTTGAGGAGTTTCTCTCTCGCGAAGACGGAAAGAAGCTTAAGAGAGCGCGAGACACACTCCTCGTGAGAAAGCTGGTGACGGGTCGGCTAAGCGAAGCTGTGCAGGACAAGAACCATGGAGGTGGCTGGGGAGTGGTGCTGGAAGGTGTTAGGAGCGGCCTGGGCGGCCGAGCAGAATGATTGCTTTTCTACTTTCTGAGGATATTGACGGGTGTTCTATCCCATGACGGGGATAAGTGATTGATTTCAGCATAGCGTTGGCGTTCGGGCACTGCCCTCAAATTATACCTGGAATATGAAGTGAGACTGAAAGCCAGACTGGTCTTCATCAAGTTTACTGCTTAAAAACCTAATGACCTGACAAAGGTAGTTACCCCAGCATGGACATCCTGTCATGCATTTGTTGAATTGTGACTATTCACCTCGGTGACGCCAAGGTGTGATGGTTCCACCGAGATTACACCGAGAAATCCCGCGTCTGACTAAGATCCGCGTCGAGTCACACCTTGCGGGTCACTTCCCCGGCGGCCAGCACCGCCCGCCCACACCATGCAGCGCAGTCTCGCTGCGTCAACCGCTTGCGCCGCCTTACACCAATGCACCCGTCCTTCACCGTCTCTCATTTTGCGCGTTACAACTCACTTTTGACTCCCACCTCGTGACGGCGATCTGCGGTGATGATGCTTCGCTCGCTTACCACCTTCCCATCTCTTGTTCCGTTCGGAGTTACCATTGCGTCGGGACGATGAGCAACCCCGCCAAAGGCGTCAAATTTGTCGGCTCCGACTCTTCGGGGCTTCCCTTGAAGCGGAAGCAGGTTCTGCAGGCCTGCGAATCATGTCGCAGAAAGAAGGTCCGCTCAAAACAAAAATGATCCCACTCGACTAAGACGCATTTCTTCTTACATGACAATTATAGAAACGCTGCATCCACGGGGAACCTCCGCCGTTGGAACCCGCGCATGATGGGTGTGCGGGTTCTTCGCCGCCGGACAACGCTGGGTTGGTTTCCTAATCAGGCAATGTTCGAGATTTTGTTAAGCTGACCGAACCCTCTCTTCCAAGATCACATGTCGTCGCCGGCTCCGGTTCACCAAGCAAACATCGTCACTCGGCGTCCGTGACCGCTGACGCCGTGCTGTCCACGACCCCTGTCCGCCGTGAATCTGCTACGGCGGGACATTTGGAGCCAGCGCAGACTCCACAGACGCGTTTCGTTGGCGATCTTAACCCGGAGGGCATGTTCGCCGAGGCCGCCGACTCGGATCCGGCCGCTAACCCTACCCAGAAGGCCGAAGTGGGTGTCTGGCTTCCGTCTCTCAACGCCGCTTCGGCCCAGTCGACGACGTCGGTTGTCTCGCGTCCGTCGGCTATTATCGACAAGGTCTTGCTGCCTTACGTCAAGCAGAATTGTCTCACCTGTGTCCCGCCGGAGAAGGATTACAAACATCTCCACAAGGTGTACCGAGACAAAATCCATCCTATTGTCGGCCTTATCCCTGACGAGGCTTTGGATGATGGCGATTCCCCAGCAGGTATTGTCATGCGACAAGTGATATGTCTAGCTGCTGCCACTGACCCTGACATGAAAAGCCACTTGCGCCTCGCTTCGCAGGGGAACAAGAGACTCTCATACCAAGACTTTTCTCAGACGTTGTCTAGCTCGATACGGGCCATCCTGGACACGAGCTTGATCTCGGATCGGACGATCCACATACGTGCCTTGTGCATGCTATCACTCTATGCCCAGCCTTCAGGTGCTGATGAAGCAGACTTGCCTGCTCAACTCGGCGCCAGGGCCGCGCACCATTCACAGACCCTCGGACTGCACCTCTTTCACTCCAGCAACGACTCTCTCGATACCCTTTTCTGCGCTGTTTGGGCCCTGGACCGAATAAATGCGGCAACGTACGGAAGACCCTGCGTCCTGCACGAGGGTGATATCGGTCCTGGGCTGGACGACTGTTTCCGCAGACAAGCGCCATGCTTCCAACTCTTCCTGTCGGTTGTGCAGTGGCTGGACAAGGTGATTGAGCTCTATCGTCCGGGTGTTATTGCTCAGTCGCTGGAAGCCAAGCCCTTTATCGATCTACCAGTCCTCGAGCCCATGATCCTCGAAGCCAATGCGTTACAGGTTCCCACGCCGCTTCTTGGTATGTTCAAGAACTGTCCTTCTTCCCCTCGTCAGTATGAGGTGCTAACGCTCAATAGCGACCATCGAGGTCTTCTACCACGCCGTCATCATCCTCTCATGCCGCTTATCCAGACCAGGGCCTCCAGCACAATACGCATCATCAGTACCCCCGCCCTCAGCAAACGCAAGACGGTCCCTCGCAGCCGAGCGAATATCCTCCGCGATCCGCCGCGACCATCTTAGCCCCGTCCCCCTCGTCCCATATGCTCTCTCCCTAGCCCTCAGCGTCGAGTACCGCAAAATGCGACACAGCGCCCTCCCAATGTTCCGCGCCCGCGCCCGCAGCGCATTCAAGTCCAATTCGGAGCTGATGAAGAGGTTCGGGGACGTCTTCTGGAGCGCACGGGTCGTCGCGGGACTTGGCGAGCGTATCTTGCGAGAAATGGAGCGGGCTGCAAACTCCATTGCCCAGGAAGGGGGCGCGGCTTTGCCAGCTGCTACTGCTCTCGTCGAAGTTCCTACAAATGGTAAACTTGATGAGCCTCTGGTGGTTGACGGCGCGCCGGCCGAGCCGCCTTCGGCTCCCCTAGCTCCTGCGTCAACCGCTGACCTCCCGGCGCTGGAGGCCATTGACTTTTCGATTGTCGATGCGATGCCGCATCTTGATGTCTTCGGTCATTTCGACCCGAGCTTCAACTTGTCGGCAGTCGATAACGCTTTGGAGGCTAACCTAGATATAGGGCTACCCCTCAACTGGGGTGAGTGGGATCAATTTGCTGGTTGAAGATTCCTCTCCACCTACCGATTCGAATGAGTCGTTCTACAACAGCGAGTAGCAGGCTTCCCCGCGCCTCAGATGCATGAATGGCACAATGGTTGGCTGAGATATCCAGGCTATCGCCAGACTATCAGTCAGGGCATATGGGGCGGATTATCCAGCCCAAAGACTTCTTATACACAGTAACTCTCGCGTCCGCGGGCCACATCCTAAGCTCATTATGCCCGCGTGAACGCTCCGTAAAGCTGTCACAGAAAGCCCGAAGGTCTCGGAGGGTCCGCAGAACATGCATGGCTGCTGTCTTGAGAACAGCTTGACGGACTGATGAGCAACACCGATGAGACTTGAGGTACCCAAGAAGCATCCTAGACATGGTTTACAGTGTTCAAGACACGAGATTCACGTAATCTTCAACAATATCAGACATCGGCATGGGGGGTGTCTCATACACCAAGGGCGATGCGAATGGAAAAGTAAATTTCGCAAGCCGTTCCGTAGAACTTGATGACACGAGATATCCGCCCTTCAATTTTCAAATTGGCCAAATTTGGAAATCAACGCTATGAAAGTCAGTTTACATTATGAGGATCGATCGAATGGAATCTTTTTTATCTCGGAGATCATACGACGGCACAATTAATCAACCCACAGATAAAAAACAACAATGAGCTGTCTGTGGCATTATGTAGGACCACCAATTTTTGTGAGTACACTTGTACTCGAACTCGCAACCCTTTCGACACCCATTACGCTTTACCATTCCACCGCTTGGTCGTGGACACTTAAGATGCTGCTCATACCTACCTAATCCTGGGAATCTGTCGCCTACCTATGTATACTCGCGACTAGAAGTTTGCGGAAAATAGTGAACATCCACGTGCTCTGGCAGGAATACTCAGACGCCCCTCGACCAATGAGCGGCCAGATGCATGATGCTTTCATGTCGATGACTAATCTGCGATGGTCTCCATTTTAATTTGCCGATGGTCCGGTCGCCACTCTTTGCTGACCGCAGCGAAAGCTTCATAGCTCTTTAAGTATTAACAATCGGGCATCTGTCGCACTAAGGGCCAGTCCCTCCCGCAACCTATTCTATGAAATTACAGTATTGAATAACGCGTTGAATATGGCTCCGCCTCTGAATCTGCTGATCCGCGCCCTCGTGGCCTTCGAGGACGTGATTATCCGCCAGGTATGCGACTCCCTCGATCCTCCCCGCCATACGTAGCAAGCTAACCTCGAATCCCAACCTACAGATCCTTAGAAGTCCCGGCTTCCACCGCGGCGTCGGCCGAATCCACCGATACGTTGACGAGAAACGGAATGGGCCTATGCCGCATGAGCCGCTCCGGCAAGGACAGGCAACTGGTACGTCCGACTGTTAGGGTTCTGCTGGGAGGGAGACTCTTGTAGAGAGGGGGGACGCTTGAAGAGAGTATAGCTAACGTTTTGTGCTGTAGCAAATCCTGAAGACCGAGGTTTTCTGCAGCATTTCGTTGAGGAGCTGAAGAACCAGTTCCGGGGAACGACGAATCCGCCTCCACCGAGACCGCCGAAGCGATGAATGATTCGACTGGAGAGAGCAGTACACAATGGCGCGATCTGAGTCGATCTGAGAGCATCTTCACGAGACAGAACTGCATCTTGTAGTCTGGTTAGTTTTGGCGTCCACACCAAAGCTAAGCCAGTGCCGAAATGAACGGTCTAAGGATGCTAGACGGACGAAGCTCCTAAGCGAAGGATACAGCGGTGCCTATGCATTTCATTGATTGGGCCGTAGTGGCCGCCCGGAACTCTACTCAAAAACCACATATTACGATACACCAGCCTTGGGATTGCTAGCGATAGTAGGACACCCGTCTTTGAGGATCACTGGGAGAGCATCACGCCGAGCCCGCGAGGAGCCGTAAGATTCTACCCAACGATGTGGGTCAACATGATGACCAGAGGTTGGCAAGCTACAAGGTATTCATTGCGCCAATTCATGAATTCGAAGAAAGGCCAGGAGAAAAGCTGCCCGATGTGTGCTCAGATCACAGCGGCTCGGCGCTTTCGGTGCGGGGCCGGCAAATCAGGTTCGATTAGCGTGCCGGGAGCCGTCTACAAAACATGAGCTGCGGAGTGCATTCGTCTGATGTTGACGAACTGCACCCCATGACTCGGAAGAAACCGAGCAGCTCGCAGATATCCCCTTACCATCCTAGGCGAATAATTGCCTTTTGGAGATATGTAGTAGCGAATAGCATCATGATCCGAAGAAAGAAAAACAAGCTTTCCATGTTCGGGACCCCTTCAATCTCTCCGTCCCCATATTGTGAATCAAGTAGGTGACAGCGGTCAAGGGTCGAATATGTCAAACCAACCAAGCAACTCATTGCCTGCTCGCTTGCCAACAAGCGTAAATTGACTCCGAACCGCGACTGTCCATCTGGGAAGCCTGCCCCTGGCCTCTAATTGAGGGGTAAGTCGGAGAACGGAGGCAAGCAAGCAAAGTTGCCTCTTTCGGCCAGCGGTAGTCTACGTGATACGACCCTCCATGGTGTCGCGATATTTCCTCTTCCGGGACTCTGAGAGTGACACTCCGCCCTCAAAAGAGAATGGTCTTCGCCTATATGCTGAATACGGGCCCCTTCTGCATCTCCCGTACCTTTCATCGTCTCGTTTCGGAGCACCTTCCGCTCTCTTCTTCGCCGCCAGCATTGCAGCTTTTTGGCTCATTCTATTCGTTAGAATCGCGTTCATCATGATCGCAAGCGATTTTCCACCAAGCGCAGTGCTGCGTGTTTTGGCAGTAGGCCTGGCCTTGTAAGTGAATCTCCGCCCAGTGATGGGGAGTGGATTTCTCATGTGTTTGAATATGAACGAGAGGCAAGTGCTTCGACGTTGCATATATAACCAGCCAGGCTCCCTCGAGACAACTCAAAGAATCCATGTTCTCATGATCCTGTGATCGCGGCAACCAAACACCTTCGTTATTCGCGATGAGATCAGACATCAGCCTTGCCGTGCTGTTGGCACTGGCTCAGACAATCTTTGCCCAGCAAACACCGTACGGCCAATGCGGTGGTAGCGGCTGGACGGGACCGACGACGTGTACGGCCGGATGGCACTGCGAAAAGGCAAACGACTGTAGGTCTCTGTCCAGATCTCTCGTAGACAATATCTAATCCCAGTGCCAGGGTACTCACAGTGTCTCGAGGGGTCTGGCTCCTCGCCAACCACTCTTCTTACGTCAACTTCGAAGCCCCCTGCTGGAACAACTACTACTTCACGCGCGACAAGCTCCTCTCAGTTAACAAGCTCTGTTAGATCTTCATCTGCCAGCGCCGCGCCCACGGCTTGTTCTGGTTCTTTTAGCGACATCTCGGGGGCGGACTACGTCAAGGCTATGAGCCCGGGGTGGAACCTGGGCAACACTCTTGATGCCATCCCTAACGAGGGATCTTGGAACAATCCACCCGTTGTCGAGAAGACGTTCGACGATGTCAAGGCTGCCGGGTTCAAGAGCGTCCGCATCCCAGGTGAGTCCATGTCTATCCCGGCAGTCAGTAAACGTTGATGTTAATGGCCCGGCAGTGACCTACAGTGACCATTTTACCGGTGCAGCTCCCAACTACACCGTTGACGCGGCTTGGCTGCAGCGCGTGTCAGACGTTGTTGACATGGCCACTGCTCGAGGCCTTTACGTTCTCACGAACGTACACCATGGTAAGAGCACCAAGCCTGCTCCATCTTTTGTGTCATTGTGCTCATACGACGCGAAAAGACTCCTGGAACTGGGCCGACGTGACAAAGCCGACCTCAGACGCAGACATCCAGACCCTAAACGACAAATTTTACAACCTCTGGCTTCAAATCGGCCGCAAGCTCGCCTGCAAACCCAACCTCATCTCCTTTGAATCAATCAACGAACCGCCCGCCACAACAGCCGATCATGGCGCCCGCATAAACACCCTCAACGACCTCTTCCTCAAAGCCCTCGCCGATAGCGGCGGCTTCAATACGCGCCGCGTCGTCAACCTCGTCGGCGGTGGCATGGACGCCACCAAGACGACGCAGTGGTTCAAGGCGCCCGCGAGCATCAAAAACCCCTGGGTGCTGCACTACCACGTCTACAGCCCCTACGACTTCATCTTCTCTGCGTGGGGTAAGACGATCTGGGGCTCGGATGCGGATAAGGCAGCGATGAGGAACGAGATGGCGATTGTGAGGGGTAACTTTACGGATGTGCCGTTGGTGATTGGGGAGTTTGACGCGAGCCCATTGAATACCGAGCCCGCCGCAAGGTGGAAGTGGACAGATGAGTTTGTGAGGACTGCGGCGGAGTTGAATACTGCTGTTGTGATTTGGGATAATGGGTTGGATCATCTTGATCGTAATGCGCATACTTGGCGGGACCCGACGTCGCTTGCCATTCTCAACACTGCCGTCAAGGGGACTAAGAATTCCTTGCCCGATAGCACTACGGATGCATCAGCCACGACGCAGTCATCATCCGCATACGTCTGGAACAAAGTTGGCACTGCGCCGGCGGATCAGACGCTCCCCTGGCTGTTTAACGGCAACACGCTGCAATCGGTGAAGACCAGTACTGGAACCACGTTGGCTGCGAACACAGATTACACCACATCGGCGTCCTCGATTACCTTCAAGGCCGCCTTCTTGTCTAAGTACCTGAGTGCTACTGCTGCGCCGGGGAGCAAAGCGAACCTGACTTTGGCTTTCTCTGCCGGGGCGACGTCGCAGGTCGAACTCGTGCAGTGGGATGTCCCGGTGGCGAGTGCGACAAGCTCCAAGGCCGTTGCGGGCGCTGACTTGAAGATCCCCGTCACATACAAGGGACTCAAGACGGTTGCTGCTGTCAAGGCTTTGCGGAGCGATGGGGTTTACTTGTTTGATGACTGGACGCAGTACCTTGGGCCATTGCAGCAGGCTCGCATTGTAAGTCATCATTCTCAACTGGAACTTGAAAATCATGGTCTTCTTGATCCAGGCAATGGAAGAGCACGTACTAATATTGATGATAGACTTTCAACGGGCAGTGGAACTATGACGGCGGCAACATTATTCTGCCTTCTGCTACGGTTCAGGCTGTCGTTTCCGCTGGCAAGGCGACGACGTTCACGTTTGAGTTTTATCCAAGGGTTCCTGGCAACAACATTACTTATGCTTTGAACCCATGAGTAGCTGTGCTGGAGCGAAGTTGCTTCTTAGGTTGTGAGCTTCGGGCAGATCATTATTGATGAAAAGAAAGCTTGTCAAATGTGATTTCAATTTCTTCGTAAATATTCTACAATTTTTACATGTTCTGTAAATAGGTAGTTGATTACACTTATTTTCAAGTTCCTGTGCTTAAGTCAACTGGTACCTCTGATTCCAGACACCAACAGGCCAACTTCGTTTCTGTTAGGCTATCTTGTGGCGCGCCTTGATTGTAGGGCTTTGGGCTTTGGCAAAGTTCATGTTGGTTGCTGTCTCTCACCCCCTGGCATACAAACCAAAGTGGAAATTGTGGGGTCACATTTGTCATGCGGAGTGATTAATGGAAGCCCAACGGACTCGCAACATCACCAACTTCTCCTCATCCAGCAATCCCTTCCCAAACACAGCATCTCAATCTCTGCCATTGCGCCCTGTCCTAGAATAAACAGCGCGCATGGACGGCACGAAGCCATGCTGGGCGTCTTTGCCGCGAGAGTTACACCTTCATATCCTAGAGCACGTCGCGAATGCCCACAGCTCACCGACCTCGCCCACACGCGGGATAGCTCGCTACGCCAGCGTATCCCAAGACTGGCAGGATTTCTTTGAGGGCACGACGTTCAGAAACTTTGTTCTGCGGCTGCAAGATCTCATTCCCTTTAGGGAGCACACGCAAAGCCCAAGAAGGCGCGGCTACATCCGGCACATCTGGCTTCGCCTCGAGGAGCCTCATCCCGAAGAGGATGACCCGGCTTTACCCTGGAATCAACCGCGGAGTCCATTTGCTACAGCTGCGCTATATCTATGGAATACTCTGGCGTCATGGGAAGTTAATCAGGTTGGAGAAGAATTGGCGCTCGAGATAAGCTCCCATACACTGGCGGGGCTCATCAGGTACGACAATTATACGCTAAAGGACGACATCGATCACTACTCGAAGTATCTCGAGACAGGGTCTGTCGCGTCGTACGACGAGATTGAGCCCTTTAGTCACACGAGCCTTCTCTGGATTGCCCACATGGGTCAAGGTCAAAGTATTTCGATGCACTCCGGAGCTATCAAGGCCCTTTATTCGTACGATATCAGGCTAAGCCGTGTAAGGTTGCCACCCGTACAAATCGTCACCAAGCTTCTTATGCGGAGGGCAAATACACGCAACCTTTACCCAGATTCGTTGGGCCAAATCATCAAGAGTCTTCCTCGCTTAAAGGAGATTCATTTTGAGAGGTGGCGGCTCTGCAGCCTAGGAGCGGAGAGGCGTTGGCTTCAAGGTAGGATTTCTCCTCCTACGTGCCACCTCTGACACTCTATTCCTCTTGTTCTATGGAATGAATAATGGCTCATGATACAGTTCTAGCCCTTAGTGACATGTGCCGGCATGGCCTCCCACCTTCGCTAAAGAAGTTTGCAATCCTACACGAGGCGTCAAACACACCCTACTTTGCTCGTGTTTTCTATGGAGGAGTCAAAGTCGAAGAACTAGTAAGCTCCGTGGCGCAGTGTTGTCTTCTTGTTGAGCACCTGGCGCTTTGCTTTATCGTCGATGCCGACGAGTTCCTGAGCAACGCACCTAACTTCCCGGAACTGAAGACGCTTACTCTGACTGCCGAGATGTTTCTTGGCGAGGGCGGCGACAGCGATGAAGCCGTGGAGAGGCGCATAAAGATCAAGACGCTTCTTTTGTTGGCTGCATTGGCGGCTTGCCGGATGCCGAAGCTTGAGCTCATGGAGATTTGGAATGGTCGAGGCGGGCAAGTCAGTATATTTCGCTACAAGGTCGACAGTGGGCTTGCTGAGATTACTTGGAAGAGCACTCAGGACGATGTTGTCATTGATGATGATATGATGAAAGCTTGGGAGGCTACGGCAAGGGTGCATGCGAGTGATGACCTGCGAAAGTCGGTAATACGACTGCCGGATGGCCCGTACACGTATTATGGCTCTGTATTGCCGCACGTGGAGTCGAAGGAGCACTTTATTCATGAGGTCTCCGCGGCCCAGATGAAATAGAATATTTTGCAAACAAACTCATAATGAGGAAGTTATAGAGAACTCAGCTCTGGTACAGACACCCGAAGAATGCTGGCATTCCATGATGTCACGATTAATGCAGCCAGATTCATCAGCCCCCCTACCGTCCTTATCCCAAATACTACCTAACTAACTAGAATTTACGTGTTATTGGCAAGGCGATCTCGTAATGCAGGATGTGAAAACCGCTCACAATGTTTTGATCTCCGAGACCAATTGCATACACCAATACAATGGCGTGAGCTTCATTTACAAGTACACAAAGTAGCAGCGTGTTATTTTAAGGCAGTGTGGTTGTCATTGTCGGGCCCTGGCTGGTATTGCCAAATATTTCGGCCCGTCTCTGCCACTTCTCGCCGTTGAAGGTGATCCCTCTGGCTTCGCAAGTGATCGACCGCGGCGCTCGGCCAGGCTTGGAATTTCCCGAATGCGTCTCAGCCTGTCTCGGGGTCATCCTGCAGATCGTACATGACTTTCATGCTACAAGAGTTTGCATCATTGTGGTACATGTAGTCACCCGTCGCTTCACCAATTCTGTGAAAGCGTCTGGGGTCGACAATGATTCAGCAAGTGAGGATAGCATCCTTGGAATGCCTCTGAATACGGACAATAGGTAGTGCTGATAGGTTCAAGCTGCTACCTAATAGCTGGCGAAATGCATCCCGAAATGCATTTCACAATTAGCCCATTGCATGAATACCTCGTCCTATCCCAGCCTTCAATATTCCTTGGCCGTGGGGCTGTCTTACGTTACCTTCGACACTATCTCCCTCAAGGTCCTCTCATTTTCAAGGCGGCAAAAGCGCCTTTTTAGCGCAAGGTCGTACGGTTGCGCACTGCGCCAGGCGCCGTTGTCCCGTCTTCCACAATCCTCTCTTGACCAATCAGACGGCGCAGCGGCGCACGATTGTACGTTTGCGCACTTCTCGATGATTCCGTCTCCTCTAGTCTCACTGCATTTGGCCAATCTCGTCGAACGGTCTGATTATGTGACAAGGATAGCATCATGGCGTTCGATGCCTGAGATGATTAAAAGTGGTATATGTGTGGAATGAATGACAACTGTCCCCCATCCTTTCTGTCACCGTCGTGGCTACTTTTCACTTCTTTCTCGACATTTCATCTTCCCCAGTACACCCTCATAAGCTATCAACAACACAGGTTGGCATATCCGAATCGACCACGCCCCAGGTCAAGTTCTCAAAAGCCCAATCTAATTTCTGTTTTTATTTCATGCTACGTTCCTTCCATTTGTACTTTCTTTCTCGTCGAACCCGTTGAACACCCGGCACAAATGAGATCCTTTCACCAACGCCGAGATCAAATCATGCTTGCAAATATCCCGAACTCCCGGTCGTACCTTGGCCGTGGCCTCTCATGTGCTATGCTACATTGGCCAAACCCGATAACACTCCTTTCACTGCTCAACCCGGCTCGAGGCTTTCTTTCTTTATTTCACTCCACGATGGAAGTCTATCGTTCTCACGAAGCGCCAGTTGTGGTAGGATTCTCCTCGTCTTCCTGGTTTCCCTGTCTACCCTTTACCCAGCGGTACACAACAGCTACCACGGGCATCGCAAACATGCCAAACACGGCCAGGGCCTTAGCCAGGGGCCAACCTGTCTCAATAATCAGAATCTTTTGGTTCAAGAGGGACACGAGGATATCGTTTTTATCGACGTACTGTTGTTCAGTTTTCGAGATGCACCGGTGACAATACGTCGGCGGTCCGAAGTCTTCGGCTTCAGCGAGAGAATGATCTTTTGGGACAATGGTCAGCCGGAATCGTTGCCTCCGTACATGGTCCACCCACCTGTAGCAAGCAGGTCACAGCCATGGCTACCAAGATCACCCGAAGGAAGAATCTCGTCAGAACCTTGGTATGCGTCCGCGAAGAGAGTAAGTCCAAGCATAGAATCACCATGGCTTGGATTTCTTGACTGACTTGCATGGAGTTACCTCCCACAACAATCAACCAGGCGACAAGAAGGCATTCGACGGACTGAGTACGCCAGATCGAGTCGATGGTCCTGGCGTGACCCCGGAAACGAAAGACGCGCTGGATCTCGGTTCCCACCGCAGCCGACACCACAATCATGGGGACGACATGACGGCTAATGCCGCCGGAGAAGTAATAGATTGCCCCTGGCAAAACACCCGCCAGTGCGAGGCTTGCCCTCAAGCGGTTGCGGCTTTCGTCAAGGACGTTCAGTGCGCTGACTGCGATTCCATATACGCAGCCAAAGCCAAGCTGTGTTGCCATGTCTCTTGTCATCGAGAACTTGGCGTTGAGTGCAAAGACGGTAAAATATACCGGATGGACAATATGTCCCCTCAAGCGAGCATGCTCGCCCTGTTGTCGAAGACTGTACCGCTCAAGAGCGCTTTGATACACACCCTGGAAGAATGTTCCAATCCTTCTAAAGCATGCCGCCAACCGAGTGGCGGCAGCTCGAAAGAAGTTAATGAACATTCTTCCAACCTTTCTTGTCAATGGACTTGTCGCTGGCGCAGTTGATGTCGTCGACGCTGGCGGTTGGTACTAGTGTATCATCGTCAGCTTCATCAGTGCCTCTATCCAAATCTTCACCGAGGTGTACCGATGTTGCGTCTCCATCATCGAGTGATGTCCTGGATCACTCTCCCAACTCTCATACTGCAAGAAAGCCTCGTGCATATGTTGGCTCACCCATCATCACAACATCATTGGGCTGCTCTTTGGACACCATTCGCACCCTCAACTCCAGACAACACACAAGGTATTACAATCTACCTTACCAGGAAAGGGACAAGTAGAAAATACTGACCTGAGGTTTGTGTCTTGATGATCTGATAGGGTTACATTCACGTTTCGAAGCTTTTGGTTGTGCTGGATATTATGATTGGTGATAAGTTGGACCTATGAGAAGAGGAACGTTGAACGCAAGGAAATGGGAGCGCCGAGGAAACATATTTCAAGCCAGCAAGACAGGGGGCCCAGAAGACTCCCAAATTTCGAACGGTCCGTCAACTCGGTCGACGGCATCCTGAGAGCCTCTCCCCCCCTCTTCTGCCCCAGTGCAGACCTCTTCCGCTCTCTCTCCCGTTCCTGGGCCCCTGGCTCCGCGCAGGCGGGCTGCTACCATTTCGTCATCACTTGCTCGTCTTCTGTAGGTTAGCAATCGGTCGGGCCACGCCAATGACAGCATCATTGGCCCAATTCGGCGACTGGAGGTGGCAGCATAACAAGTACTGAGGTCGACCACATCGCCGATGGGCTCCCAAAGAGGCTTTCAGTCTGCGCGCCCCCTTTTCACACATCCGAGGTGATCAAGTTCATGAAGTGAGGGGAAGCACTAACCCTAGCCTCGAATCGCTACATGGTGTCCTGTTCTGACGAATTGGATGGACGAATTAGTCCAGCGAATGCTGATGCCCTTCTGGGCTGTGACTCAACAATTTACAATAAGCATATCCCAGTACAAGAACGTGTTGGTACCTCTCCATATCTCTTGAGTGTAAAACTACAAGACAGAGTACGCGGTAGAGAATGTATCATCTTGAAATTTGTTGCAGCCAATGGCTAGTTCGCCTAGTAGCTTTTCAACAAACGACGTCACCACTCAACCCAATTCGGGGCTTAGCTCTTCCCAGTGTCTCACAGTCGCCAAATTCCATGATACTTTGCCGTCTCCTCTTTCTGTCGCCATCTTTTGTATCTGTTTTCTGGGTTGAGTGCTGCGCTTGATCACAGAGCTCGTCAGTGCTCTGCGTAATTCCTCGCCCAGCCTCTGCTCCAGAGGACACGAAAGGGCTAGTATTCCCGAGGCTGACATCACTTCGTTGTGGGTACTGAAGCTTCCCTCGTTGTTCGGGCGGTTACAAATGAAAGCCTGCTGGACTCAAACACGCTGGCACGCGACTATCTTCTACACAGCTACCAGGCCAGTCGGTTCAACACGGTTCTGTTCCGCACCTCATCAAAAATGGCTTGTCCGCATCTAGCCGGCACACCCAGTGACTGGGCCACTCATCCGGGGCGACAGCCGAGTAAAGACTGCGGATTCAACCTTCAACATACACAATTTCGACAGGATCGGCTCGATGACCCCCAGCACCACAGCCAGACGGCCATGGATACACTTTCAGCTTCCTCGTTAGGCAAACTCCGCCAAAGCACGTGCGAATCGCCACGTGACTTATCGGCGCAACTGTCAAACTTTGCGACTTACGTCAGGTAGCTCCGACCTCCGATCCAAGTCCGGATCATCGGCTTTTCACAGACTACGAGCGTGTTGTTAACAACCCAACAGACTCCCTCCATCGCAGCGCTTCAGGATATATTTGCCTGAAGACTCTGATATTTGTTCTTCTGAGAAGAGACATGTCACGGGTTTCAGCTCAACAAGCCTGGAGAAATCGTTCTCGACCGCTGCCTCGAGCGAAACAGTTCCCCGATGTTACCAATCCGCGACTGTCACTCCATATGCCCGACCATCAAGCAAGAGGCCAAAGAGCGGCAGTGAAGACTCTGCCAGCGACTTCGAGGCGCAATTGTCTTCATCGAGAAAGAGGAAGAAAGAAAGCGGCATAAGACGCCTATTTGCGTGTCCTTTTTACAAGCTTAATCCACTCAAGCAGCGGTCATGTCACAGCGCTACCCTCTCTGAGATCAGATACGTTAAGCAGCACCTACGGCGAAGTCACATGCAACCACTTCACTGCGGTTACTGTAAGGCCATCTTTAATTCCTGCAGCGAACGTGATCATCACCGAGTAGCAAGAGAATGCGCTCATTCGTCTGCATGCGTTGAAGGAATCACTTCAAACCAGGCACGCCAACTACGCTTTTGGTCGGCCAAAAGGGGTAGTTCCCAAGAAGGGCAATGGTTTGCACTCTGGAGAATAGTATTTCCAGACATCCCCTGCCCTCCCTCGCCTTTCGTGGACGCAGGAGACTTTGGAGAGTTCAACCAGCCACTCGCAAATTTCTCAAGGCAATTATCGACATCTTGCCACAGTGGAACACCTGAGATTTTGTCAAACCTGCGAAGAGTAAGAACAAGCTTGCCTTCCGCTGGCATGATTGCGGATTTTAGCCAACCTGACCAAGAAGCTCAGAGCAAGACGAGCTGGAATGGCAACTTCAAAGAAAAACCACCTCTTGCATGTCCCTTTGTCAAGAAGTCTCCTCAAAAGTACTGCTCGTCAAAATGGCGGAGTTGTCATGCACCCGGATGGCATACAGTTCACCGCGTCAAGTAAGTTCAAAAAGGCTCTTGAATATCGTGTCCAACTAATCCTCCATGCAGGGAACATATTTACAGGCGTCATGCTGTAACAATCACCTGTCCTCGATGCTTTGAAGCTTTCGATACAGAATCGGGGCGAGATGATCATTTGAGAGCAGCGGAAACATGTGTAGTTCGTGATACGCCTCCCCTAATGGAAGGCGTGAGTCAAGACCAGGAGCAGAAGCTACGAAAAAGGTCCAAGCAAACAAGCGAAGCGGATAAGTGGAGAGATGTATACCTGATCCTCTTTCCTGACTCGGAGGAAACACCAAGTCCTTGTAAGTTATCACGTTGAGATAAAAACCACCCCGATAACTAACATACCGGAGACCTTGAAAACTGGAAGCCTTCTTTGGAAGAGGAAGATTCGGCAGCTTCAGTACACAGAGAGGTTTTGGGTACAGAATCTACTCAAAAAGGCCGAAGATATCTTGACAAAGAAAATGAGTCTCTTTCCAGCCCACTGCACGCTGGCTGGACTGCACCTCTCGATTATTTGGACTTGATCAAAATCTCATGGAGTGATACGCTCACGGGCGGTGACTGGAACACTGGCAGCAACTTGTTATCAGATATGGGAGCATGGTGCGACAACTCGCCAACGACTTGCATCGACCCACTAAGTTGGCTTGCGGCCCAACAAAAACACGAATTTCCGATTCTTCTAAGCCCTCGTCGGTCAAGTATAGGGTGCCTATTGAACCCGGCCGATGAAGGAATCCAGTTAGGGTTTCAATAGGAAGCCACAGACAGGTCACTGCTAGCCAGTCGGGTTGGATCGCATGAGCTTTGAGCGGCAGTCCGTGTGGCCGCAACTGAGCAACAAGTGGTTAACGCGGTGTCGCAGGCAGTGAACAACGTCTGATCGTACTCGCGAGATCAGGGCTCAGCCTGTAGAATCATGATATGTAATACCAGAAGGACTGAAGCCAGAGTAGAGCCTCCTTATTCTCTAACCTCTACGCACCTCCGGTTCGTGAGTTTTTAGTGCATACCAAATAAAAGCCGTGCTACCTGATTTAGACTAATACAACTCTATCTGCCTCTCGTGAAAATCTTTTGTCTCCGAACATCAGCTGATGAGGCTGACCATTCTCACGCACCATAGCGATGGCGAGGAGCGTAGTGGAACCGTCAGTCGAACTTCTTCGTAACACGACCGGCCAGCTCATGCCGTCAAGAACCCAAACCTCGTCACCAAAATGCGCAATACTCGTCGTCGTGATCACCCGTCGGCCATCTGAGCTGGAAAAGGACTTCCACGGCAGGAACCCATCATGGCCTCTACCAATGGCGCTTCCAAGAACATCAACCTGAGTACCCGCGGCGACCAGCACTCTGCTCTCTTTCCCGTGCCTGTCTTCCAAAAAGTCCAGAGATGCTTTAGAGCTGTGAATTGTGCCTGCACTGCATGCGGATGGCAGCTCCAAGGCGTCGATGAACTTTTGCCTCTCGATGTCCTCCCGCTTATCCCAATCTGGGACCCACGATGGCAGTGCGTCTTTGCCTTCGGGGAGGTCTCGACTGTGTGCCGCCGTCCCTGCTTGTGCCAAGATGTCGAGGCCTCTGTCTTCATGCACGACGATCGCGCGAGCTACATCGATGAGCACCGCCTGGATGCTGTAACTTGCCTCGTACCGGATCGGCACTTCGTTCCCGAGGTTGGCCAGTCCGACAAAGGCATAAAACTTGTCTTTCGGCTGTGATGTTTCGGTGTTTCGTGCGTGTTGAAGAAGATAAGACAAGTTAATCTTATGCTGCTGCCTTTCCCATAGCTCTCGACCCTCTATGACCCTGTTTACGAGTGCTCGACTCGCGTTCGTTGTTCTTAACCGCTGGATATGGTGTCCCATTCCCACTAAACTTGTTCTACTTCTCAACTTTTGCGTCGTCCTTGCCTCGTACCCGGGACAGCAAGGATAGCGAAAGAAGCAACAGCCGAGGGTCCAAGGTACAGCGTACACAGCAGCTTTTAGTACATGGGCTGTGCAAACGCATGAAGAGATGCAACAGCGGGCCGGAGTGCGGGGTTTGTAAGAGAATCGATCATCATAGAAGCAGATAGGACAGCACTCACAGGCTGCCTTGAATGCGTTGCGAAGATGGTCTTTCATGGGCTTGATACTGGCAAAGATCTTGTACCGATGCATGGTGTCATCAGCCTGGTCCCGTTTCTGTAGCGCCTCCCTGCATGCATTGACGGTGTCCAGTTCCATGAAAAGAGACAGGATGGGATGGAGCTGATTCCATGGCATCGAGACCTCACCAGAAAATAGAAAGAAGACATCGGACGCGACAATGAATTCCTGGTAAACCCACGAGCGGCTCCACCAAGAATGGTTGATCACACGGTAAATGTCTTCCCAAGAATCTGCTGGCCATTCTGGATTGACCTTATCTCTCCATCTCCCTGGGAGGTTTGGCTCTGGTGGCGGGTTCTCGTAGAGCATGTTTGGTGATGGCTCGTACCCCTCCGTCATTTTCGCCGCTGTAAGACCCGTCAGCCATTCGAAAATGGGCCGAAGGTTCCTTTCAATCGGCATTGACACGTATACATGTGTAGCGTTCCGGTAGATCTCGCGCATAAAGTTGACTTGGTGCGACTTTTCTGGTAAATCGCTCTGGTTGATGCAAATCTGGTCCACCCAGAGTCGAAGGGGCTGATTCGGAGATCCTTTCTTCCAGAAACCGGCAGCGTTCTCGATTCCCTTGGCCAGATTGGAAAATATGTTCATCTTGATGCCCTCGATCCAGACCGGCACGGTGTCCTTGGGATTGCCCGAGTAATACGAGATGGCGCAATATTTACCAGCTTTTGCTAGGGAAATGGAATGGATCATTCGGTGTATGTTGCCCCCAGTGAGGTCAACATCGAGGAGTCGAATTTCTTCATACTTCTTGTCCAAAGGTCGGTACTTGAACTTGGCGTAAAAGCCCGAGTTTTCAGGCGTGTAAAAGTTTGTAAACGGCGCAGGTTTGGATTTAGACTGCTTGGTCCGAGCCTCTCGAAGCCCAGGTTCCGATTGCTCCATGTGGGATCACTGTGGAAAGTGAGTTCTCGATAGGCGTCATAAGCTGAGAAGTGAAGACTTGATCACAAGTCAGCGTCAAGAGAAGAAGGTGGCGAGCCAGTGGATTAGAAAAGCCAAGTCTGGCTGCTGTGGAGCTGGCGGGGAGCCAGCGCACTTGATCAATGTCATCATATCATTCAGCTGAGTTGCTAGGTTGCATCCCTTTGGTTAATCTTCCCGCTTGTTTTCTGAACCCTGCATGATCGCGGCAAGCTGAAAGGCGGCGGCAAGAATGAGCGGATTGATACGCTGATAGTCCGCCTTTGGAGTTGGACCTGCAGTCCCCCGTGTTCAAGCTAAGCTTCTCTCGGACAGCCTAGCTTGGACCAATACTGATACTGCCTTGCTGCCTATCTCTGTTTCCTTGGCGCCTCATCCCTCAGCGTAGGATCAGCCGTTTTGAAAGGTCACCTGACGGCGACAAAAGAGTCTGGAAGACGATTTTCTAATATTACACTTTCAAAGTATACTGACGGGCAAAAATTACACAGGTGAAGTAAAGTATGGTGTCGAGAGCTGAGGGCTGCTGGAAGAGGCTACTTCGTGCTGGGGGCTTCTCGAACGCTGTGATAAAGTTAGTTAGCTTGTTGTAACCACTGTCTTGGGAGCCTTACCTTCGCTCATAGTTTGACTTATGTACCCTAGTCTCCCCAGATTGTGGTAGTCCGTTATTGTATACCATGTATGGTCACGGCCAATGTCTGCGCCTCTTTGCCTCCAGAGACATGCTCACATTAGAACGTCTCTCACTTGACTGAATCCTGGCCACTCAAAAGTCTACACGCATACAGCAATTATTTGACCCTTGGCTGCTAGATCTCATTTCCCCTTTCCAGACTCCAGAGCAAGCTCCTTCAACTCTGCTACAGCCTCCTCCTCTCTACCAACAGGAACAAACAAATGATCATGATAGTATCCACTAACAGGATTGACCCCCATCCCCTTGGTCGCCAATCTCGTCGCAATGACCGCCATGAACCCCACAGCCTCGAGACTCGAGTGCACGTTGAGCGTAATCATCTTTGACGGGAATGCATAGTCCCACTTACGGGCTGTCGCCGTGTCGAGTGTGGTGATGAGTGTGACGCCTTCGGACTCTCGAAATAGTAGTTGGATCTCAGAGAGGGGCGGTAGTGGGGCATCCGCGGGGAGGGTGACGAAGACGTAGGTTTCCGGGTGGAGGACGGTGGTAAGGGTTGAGAGAAGGGTTTGAAGGGAGGTTTCGCCGATAGGAGTCGTCATTTTGGGGCTTTATGAATTGGCTTGATTGGTGTTAATGTATTCGAAGTGAAGTGAGCAAATGATTGGGTTTTATAGGCACTTAGACTGAGAACTCTTCCCATCGCGATGTCAAAGCCTTAGTCGTGACGGTTTGGAAAAGCGGGGTAGAGGGCCACTATCGACAAACTTTTAGTCAGCAAGGGCGTAGGGACTTGAAAGATGTCAAACGAAGAGCCACTAAAGATGTCAAAAACAAGCGTATGCAAAATCCATCGATTAATACAATTAAGCAAGCCCGCCAGAAACTCCTCACCCTTAATTAATAGACCGAGAACTCATCAAAGTTTCTGGTCGTTGAGAGACACGGAGCGCTTGCTATACACCAAGTAGAACTTTTGAGAACCTTTGACCAAAAACAATGGACAGTCGCACCAGCCCAAACTTTTACATCGCAAAACTAACACGCAGCTCATCCCAACCGAATCGACAACAACACAAAAGCCAAAACACCCGCCCCAAAAATAATAATCAACAACGCAAGAATGACAGCCCAAAACGTATTCCACTTTCTCTTCCTCACCCCCGCAGCTGCCAGCTGCCGCCGGTAGCCCGCGACATCAAAGGACTTATCACTCTTCACCGAGCCCCGCGAGCCGGGGCGCTCCGTGTATCGTACTTGGTAAGGCGACATGTACCCCTGCTTCTCGTACAAGGGCAGCGTGAAATTACTCGAGCACGCGCCGGAGCAGGCGAGGCCGTCGTGGCCGTAGCGCTGGTAGTGGAGGATGCGAGCGAAGTAGGTCATGTCTGGGACTGAGGGGGCCGTGAAGGTGTAGTTTAGGTTGTGGGTGAAGATTTTGGAGGATGGTGTTGTGGATGGAGATGTGGGTTTGCGTGTGAGGTTGTTGTTTGTATTGTTGCGCTCGAACTCGCGGACGAATTTGGCTTTGGGAGGTAACATTTTTGCGGGATCGTGGTGGTCGTGCTTGGCGTGAGGAGGATCGGTGGGAGGAGTGATTTGGGATGTTGGTGAAGAATCTGAAGAAGTCATGGAGGAATTTGGCCGGGAAATTAGGTCTTTTGATTTTGATTGAAAGTTGACTGAATTGAGAGAAGAAAAAGGGGCTGGGAGGGCCTGTTTTTTGATGTTCGTGTAGGACATGTTGGCGGGTTGCGGGCTGGTGTTGCACGCATGCGGCCGTTTTTGTGTTACCGCTCGTGAAGATGTGATGATGCGATGGTGTTGCGGGTGGGTGCGGCAGTTGGTGTGGGTTTTGGTGTTGACTGTGGAATGATGCGGATGCGGCCTGTTCATGAGAATGAAAGCGGGTAGGAAATCGATTGTGAATCACGTCAATAACTCTGTTAGCTGCGTTGGAAGTACTGATCTAAGCCGGGATCTTGTACAGTGCCTCGATGAAGGTAAGAAAGCAGATAACATTCCCATAGTACGTAGTAGATGATGATACACGCCTTTCAGGTTATATGCCCTCAATTGAGCAATATGCATTGACCTCACTTCGACGACGAAGCGTAACGCCCTTCTCAATGTTCAGTAAGAATATTTCCGCTTTAGCGAGCTTCAATTGCTGCTAGGCTTGATCAAGCTCAAAACCGTGTTCGGCGAAATTGGCCCACGTGTATGCGCATGCGTCGAGCTAAGAGTTCAAGTTGAATCCCGTTACATTCCAACGCCCCGCCCGTTTGTCTACCCAAACCCGGCGAAAGCAAAGATAAATCTACAACCGACAAAAGAAATACCGCCGCGACTACCGGCAAACGATTGGAACATGCGCCAAAACGCCTTCCTCTAAATCTTCTGTGAGTGTTGTTTGTGCGCACTCTACGCATGCAATGCCTCAATCCATAGCTCGCACAGCTAACTTCATGCATCAACTTCATCCTCCTCCAGGAATCCGAGCCCGCTGTCATACTTTCTCCTCTTTCTCCCCGATGACCGCCGCGCCAGATCCCCCGCAAGCAGGCCCCTCTTCGCCCCGGACTCCGACCCGCCCGTGACTCCACCTTCCGGTCCCGCATCCTCCGTACCGGCCTCTACCTCCGCCCCGGGCCCCAAAAACTCCCGGCTCATCCCAACAACCCTCTCCAGCTCCCCTCTCATCCCCTCGATAACCCCCTTCGCCGCCTCCCTCTCCCTCACCATCTCCCCCTCCAACCCTCTCTTCTCAACCCTCAAATCTTTAATCCCCTCATGCGCAGCCCTCAACCCAGCATTCACCCTCTCCAACTCCTCCCTCAACTCCCTAACCCTCGCATCCCGCACCGCCAGCGCCGCCCCGCCGCGCCTTGTGACCTCCGCAACCTCCTCGGTCCTCGCTTCCTCAGCTTCGGTAAGCCTCTTCCGCAACGACCGGCCCTGCGCCACCGCGTCCGCAAGCTTCGTCTCTAGCTTCGCGATAACGTCTTCCTTGGCGCGCAGGACCCTCCTCCCAACTTCAACCTGCGCGTCCTTGGTTGCCATTGCGTCGCGGTTCTCGCTCTCTATCTTTCCGACGACGCCTTCTAACTCGCTGATGTCACGCACGTAGCCCGCCACCGCGCCCTTGAGCCTCTCGACGCTGACCTCGAGCTCGCTCACGCGGCCCTCCTTTTCTTTGAGTCCCTCCCTTGCGCGTTTAAGCTCGGTTTCGAGCTCGCCCATCACGGCGACCCGCGCACCGAGTTGTTGGCGGAGAGAGAGTTCTAGCTCGTGATACTCGTCAATCGACGCCTCATCCTCTTTTGCGCGCTTGGCCAGGTCGCGTAGGCGCGTGAGGAGTAGGTCGAGGACCTCTGCGCCGCGGGAGGATAGGGGTAGGGTGATTTCGCCTGGGGTGAGGTACTCCAGCTCCAAACGGGCGGTGCGCAGCGCGGCTGAGAGCGAGGTCACGATCTCGGCGCCGTCGGAGCCGGGGAAGCCCAAGGCGCAGAGGGATGCGTTGAGGTCCTGGAGCGCGGCGGTGCGGTCGGAGATGGTGCGTAGGAGGCTTGTGATTTGCGTCTCGATCGTAGCAATGGAATAATCCGAAGCTGTGTCTTCTGGCGGGACGGCGGAAAGCTTCCGGGATAGTCGCTCAGTCAGAGCAGAGTACGACTCCAGCGTGCCGGTGAGCTTCGACATCTCCAGCCTCAGAGAAGCCAACTCCTCTCCGAGCTGTTTCTTCTCGAAATCAGGGAAGTCAGCCTGCACACCAGCATCCGAAGGCGCCGAAACCATGACTCTCTGCTTCCCCCGATGTGAGAAAGGTGTAGCAGGCCCAGCCGCAACAGGGCTCGTGAGCGGCGGCGTCAAGAACGAAGACCTCACCCGCGTGGGTGTACTACACTCCATCTCCGCCATCGTCGCCTCTCCAAACACCGTCTCGTCGGCATACTGCACCCTCTCCCCACACATCGACTCCGCCTCGACGGTATCCGTCTCCATAAAGTCGTCGGCGAACGGGTCCCGCGCCGCGAGCGTCCAGTCAAAGCAGCTCTTCTGCCTCGCTGACGCCGAGGACCTGTCTGCAAGCTGTGTTCTGAGGTCATCAACCTCTTTTTCAAGAGCCCAAATGCGCTCCGTGTCAAGAATGATAGTGGCATTCTGCAGCTCGTAGATTTCCGCGTCCTTTTGGCGGAGTTGGTCGCGGAGAGTCTGGAGCTGTTCTTTTGCTTGCTTGGCGCTGGCGCGCTTCTCGGCTGTGATGGTGTTCATTTCCTCGCTGAGGCCGTTGCGGCGGATGCGGCGCTGCACACGGCCTGAGAGGACTTGGCGGAGTGGCAGGAAGTGGACTTCGCCGCTTGGGGGGAGATCTGTTGCCGCGCCAGAGGGTGCGTTTGGCATGGAGTGACGGCGGCGTGAGGAGGATGATGATGATGGGGTGGGGGCTCCTCCTCGAGATAGAGATGTGCGGCTGATCATTGGTGTGAGACCTGTTGAGAGGGTGCGGGTTGTTCGTGGTGTTGTTGACCCTGATGGCCCTGGGTCTGAAAAGCGAACTCGGCGTTTTGGTGCTTTGCGTGGTGTTTGGGATAGTGCCGGAGCAGGTGAAGGCTCATAAGCGGGAGCGGGCATGCTCCGGCGTGTCCGCCGTAACGCGATGGGCAGGTCGTCGTTGGTCATGGTGAAGCGACTGGACGTCCTCGGTAGTTGAGCACAGAGTACTCTGATGATACGGGTAAAGGAGGGGGTGAATCCGCATGGAAGCGAAGCAGGCAAGGTCACAATGTTCCCGTGGCAGAACAAGACTGGAGATAAATACGGATGAACACTCCCTTGAACGAGATCAAAGTATCGTTGGACTCTATATCGTATGTCTCGTTCGTCAATCCACTCCCTTCTTTTCATACCTCGTCAGCCAAACATTATGTTGTTGATGCCCAGATGGAGCTGTTGTTTACACACTTCCTATTCAAGAATAGCGCCGCGAGCTCACCCCCAGCCTCTGGACCCACCTCTGCCGGCCCCGCCCGCCCCGCGCTCCGCACCCGCGCGTTCAGCCAATCGTTCCCGTCCCAGCCGCGGTCGTCACAGACAATGCTCGACCAGGCCTGCGACCGTATCGCGTGTTTGGGGGCGTTCCTTATTCTCATTGTTCGCATCCGTTTCTACCATTCTCACGTCGCGACCGACGCGGTCGATGCTGCCCCTGGGCTTGTAAAGTCGCGGTTGCCAACTTTCTCACGCGATCATTGGTCAAGTCATCCTACTGCTCAGTCCAGCTCTCAAGACAACGTTCCTCACTGTTGGAGAGAGGCATCTGCCTGGAAATATTGGATCATTAACTTGTTGCCATGGCGAGCCTTGCCATCCCAATTTTCGCTTTCCTTTATACTCGCAGCGATGGCAAAACTAGCTCCAGAATACCGTCTCACAATAAGACGCGAATGTTGTTTTCTCGATTTCCTTATCCACCTACCGTCCCCATTCCCACACGTGGACCCATGTCGACGCCAATTCAACGGCAGTCGACCATTGGATGCCACCCTGCATCTTGGCCCGCCCTCTGCATCTACTTTGGCTTCAGGAATCTCCACCACACACATCCCACCACCTCTCACGCACACAATTCACCGCTGCTGCATTGATATGTGCAAATTTCGGGCCGCTGCTTCAACAAGGTCTGGTGGTGTAGTTGGTTATCACGTCAGTCTAACAGTTCGAGAGAATTCCTGCTCCCGTCTGCCACACTGAAGGTCTCCGGTTCAAGTCCGGGCTAGATCATACCATGGGCGATTGGTTTAGTGGTATAATGACCGCTTAGCATGCGGTAGGTCCTGGGTTCGATTCCCAGATCGTCCATCCTTTTTGAAGTCTAGGCGTGATACTACTCCTAGAGGAGTTGTCAACTTCTTTTTCCTTGAGTAGGTGGAGGATTCATCGGTCCCAGTACTCGGGCTGGCTTTTCTGGGTATCTGAGATTAAGAAATAGCTTTTGTGCTAAATATTAGTACCCATAGCAAAACAGGTGGATCGAATCCAACAATTCTGGTGATAACGAACTTCAAGTAAACCGACATTCTGTTAATTTCGCAGTTAAAAACGAAACATGGCTAAGTGCCCGCCAACAGTTTGATATATCTACAGACCGCAGGTGGCCCCTGCGGCGCTGTCAATGCAACATCAAGCAACTGTCCAATCTCGAATCGGATGCCCCCAACTCTAAACTGCAGGCCTTATCTCATGCCATCATGTGATTCGATCACTTGTTGTTGTTGTTGTTGTTGTATTTAACGCCGTGGCGGCCGGGCTAGAGCCCTTACCGCAGACCTCCCGAAGGGTATATGGCGTGGAGGGCCGTGAGCCAAGGCTACCTACTCTACAGTACGTCGTCTCTTTACATCGTCCTCCAAATCATGCCTTGTGGCCACTACGCGTTCTGTCTGTCCCCGGTTCCCGCTGGTGCCCCAGTTTCATTCTTTCCCAAATCGTCCCTTGGAATCGGGAGGTTCTTTGTAGTCCGCACTCACATCTACCTAGGTGTGGATGCTGCTACCGCAGACAGATCTTCTGGAAGAAGTCCGTCACGCGGAGAAAGGCCTCGAAGCCTCGTGGGTCGGTGATTAATCTCTTGAAGTAGGCCTCGAGAGATCCCATAGGACCTATGGGCTCGGGCATACTGCGAGAGTGGAGGGTCGGCCACCGTTGCCTCCTCGCCAGCGTTAGTCGACAGTAGACCAGGTGGTCCACGTCTTTCGCCTCTCCACAAGAGCACATCATTAGAGCGTCGTCGTGGTTGAAACGTCGGTGATATTGCTCGAAGTCCCCGTGACCCGATCGTGCCGCCAGCAGGTGATGTAACGTAGCCCGCGGCAAGGCCAGTTCAGGAGGGCTGGACAGAGCTGCCTCAAGCCCCAAGTCCGCGTACCGCGGCCTTCGCTCTTTATACCACCATCTCCTGTGCTGGCTTTGTAATTTTTCCCTTGCAAGCCGCTTGATGCCCGCTAGTGTTGCCATTTGACCCATCCGCGCCGGCAGTGTCGTTCCTTCTTTGGCCAGCCGGTCCGCGGCCTCGTTTCCTTCGATGCCCTGGTGTCCCGGGGACCAGTGCGTCCGTATATCAAATATCCTGGCCGCTTCTTGGATTTCGAGGAACGCGTCTTGTGACGAGTCCGGCGCCTTGCCGCGGATGCCTTGTATAACGCTGGTGTTGTCGATACATATGTGGATTGGATGACCGCGATTGGTGAGCAGAGCCCTTCTGAGGCCGGTTCGCGCCCCTTCGACCTCGGCGTCGAACACTTCTGCTAGTCCGAGTCGGCCGCACCCTTGCGCTATGCGTTTGGAGTCTCGGTAGATGACGAAGCCGTACCCCACGGCTCCGTTCGTCGCCCTGGAGCCGTCCGAGAAGACGATCATATGGCTTTCCGGTACTGTCTTTAGCCAGCGCTCGAAAGCTTTCGCAGCCTCTTCTTTGCATTGAACTACTATCTGATCCTGTGAGCTTGGCAGGTACTGTGATTGGAGGAACGTTGGTCTTCCGCATCTTGGCAGAAGTTCAGCCGTCCGTTGTAGTCTCGTCTGTTGCTGTCCCTGCTGGGAGAGCCGCGCGACTAGCGGGTGTCGGCGATCAATCCTCTGTAGTCGGACTGCGGCCCGTAAACGGACGCCTTCTAAGGCGACTTTGGCTGACGGTAAGCCGGCGTCTCGGAGGAGGCTACTGGTTGGCGTTGTCCTCCAGACAGGGAACGATCC